TTTGGCATTTTAATTATGATGTGTCTTGGTGTGGTCCTCTTTGAATTCCTTTTGTTTGGGTTTCTGCGTACTTCAACTTTTTGGGTTCTTTTTTCTTTTTGCTTTCCTGGTTGTTTTTTGCTTCTTTGTATTTCAAATTTTTACTTGATTCTTGATCCTCTAGTCTGCTGTTGGGTCTCTGTATAATTCCTCCCCCAGTCAGTGTATGTTTAATTTCTAGTTTGTCTTTCTTCATATTTTTGAGGGTCTGGCTAAATTTATTGGTCTTTTCTAGGAAATTTTTGAAAAACTTTATAACCATGGTTTTGAATTCTAGATACACTCGTGGTTTTTTTTTCTCCATTTCTTTAGTTTGTGATCTGTTACTTTGTCTCCGCATTTTCACTGCTTCCCTGAGTTGGTAGAGGGTAGCTCTGTGTGCTCGGTTTCCTATATAGCCCAGTGGCTCAGCCTCCAGTCACGTGAGGTAGACACTATTGGTGCACCTTTTTGTGGTCTGTGTGTACAGCTTTGTTGTAGTTAAATCTTGGTTGTTGTTGGTACCACTGGGAGGAATTGATCTCCAGGTCAATTGGCTATGTGTATCAGCAGTGTCTACGAAAGGAGACCTGTGCTGGAGATAGCCTTATAGAACCAGACTTGCAACATTGCAAAATCCTCTATGCTTAGCTTGGATGGGGCGGAGTCTCAGGACTAAGGAGGCAGTCTTGGCTTCCCGACAGCCCTGCCCTTGTGTGTGCGCCTCCAGACCTCTGCCTTCCGCAGCTCCCCTGAGCTTCTGCCTAACAGTCCAGTTTCCCCCAGGCTTGTCCGGAACTGGGGTTCAGTGCAGTTGGAAATGGGTTCAGTGCAGTCAGAAGCTTCCGACTCTACTGCTAGGGAAAGCTAGCGGCAAACTCAGCAGTCAGTCTTCTCTCTGCATGCGCGCCTCCAGACCCCTGCCCGCCGTGGTTTCCCCGAGTCTTCGAGTCTCCGTGTGCCTTTCCCTGTACCTGACAGTCCAGACTCCCTCCCCCTATATGGGTCCACAGGGTTTCGCCTGAAACCTGAGTTCAGTATAATCAGACTGGGTTTCAGTGCAGTTGGGGCTGCCTTTCCCCTCCTGTCAGAGAATGCCAGCCAGGCACTCTCGCCCTTCCTCTCTGGGTGCATGTTTCCGTACCTCAGTCCTTTGCAGCTCCTCTGATTCTTTGTGAGCTTTTTTCTTTCCTTCTAGTTGTAGAATTCCCACTTTGCCAGCATTCCTGCGATTCTGGGTGATGTCTGTTCTGCCTTTAGTTGTAGTTTTGAAATTGTGAGGCAGCAGTTTAGGTGTATATTTATGCCGCCATCTTGGTTTCTCCTGATTTGTTGATGGTTGCCATTCTGATAGGTGAGATGGTACCTCATTGTTTTGATTTGCATCTCTCGGATGATTAGTGAATTTGAGCATGTTTTCATATGTATCTTGGTCTTCTGTATGTTCTTTTTCAAAAGGTGTCTAGGTCCTTTGCCCATTTTTTTGATTGTTTATCTTTTATTTAAGTTGTATGAGTTCTCTATACATTTTGGAGATTAAACCCTTATCAGAAATAACATTGGCAAATATATTCTCCCATGCAGTGGACTTTCTTGTTGTCTCCTTGATGGTTTCTTTTGTTGTGCGGAAGCTTTTAATTTTGATGTCGTCCCATTTATTTATTTCTTCTTAGTTTTCATTGCCCTAGGACCGTAGTCAACAAACTGGCTTGTGAGCCACATGTGGCTCTTTGGCCCCTTGAGTGTGGCTCTTCCACAAAATACCATGGCCTGGGCGAGTCTACTTTGAAGAAGTGGTGTTAGAAGTTTAAGTTGAAAATATTTGGCTCTCAAAAGAAATTTCAATCATTGTACTGTTGATATTGGCTCTGTTGACTAATGAGTTTGCCAACCACTGTACTAACCCACTTCTGTGAGGTACTTATAGTAGAAAAGTCATAGATTTAGAAAGAATGGTGGTTGCCAAGGGAAGAAGGGAGGGGAGAACCAGTAGTTACTCATTGTATAACAGAATAAAGTTTCAAATTCACAAGAGGAAATGAGTTATATGGGGATGGATGGTGGTGATGGTTGTACAATAGTGTGAAATATTTAATACTACTGAATTATACATTTAAAAATGGTTATGATGGCACTTCAGCTGCATGTCTCAGTTGGAGTATTGTCCTGTGCACCAAAATTACAGGTTTGATTCCGAGATAGGGTACATGGGAGGCAACCAAGCCATGTTTCTCCCTTCTCTCTCCCTACCTCTCTCTCTAAAATTGGTAAACATATCCTCAGGTGAGAATTGAATAAATAGTTATGATGGGAGTTTTACATTTGTTGTATTTTACTACAATAAAAGAAAACGGGAAAACTTTACTGGAAGTTTTGAGTTTTGTATTTTTATTTTTTGAAATGTAGGCCTCTTGAGAATTATTGTCCGAAGGAAGTACTCCTCCTGAGGGGACACTGTCATTGAGGACTGTATTAAATACCTCTACAAGTCTTCTCATCTTTATTTTTGGTGTTTTAATCTTTGGTCTAATTTAAATGAAGGCTTTCTCTGGGAGTTTATTTGTATAGCATAGTTGGAAAAATTTAATTTCATACTAAAAGTTAATCATGTTTATAATTATGCTAGGCACCTTTTAGACAGATGAAAAAATAAACAGTATATATAGTCTTTCTTTCTTTAATAGATTCTTTGGGGAGGAATTTATAATTTTGTACATTCCAATAAATTTGATGAGATGCATAAACAAATTACACTATAATACATAAGAGAATTGAGTTTGATTCAGTTGGTCAGGAACAGTTGCATTAGAGTAACTTCTAAAAAGAACGAAAATTTTAATAATAAAGAGGCAGGGTTAAACATTCTAGGTAGAACTATTAAGCAAAGGGATAAAGCTGTGAAGTTTTTGGACATATTTAGGAATTTTGAGTTCAGTTTTGTAGTAATGTAATATACATTAAGGAAAGGTGGACTGAAAGTTTGGTTTGCCACATTAATGAAGACTTAAAATGACTGTGTACATAGGATATAAGGAACTCATTTTCTGAGGTTTTCTTTTTATTGATGTACACCTGAATTTCAAATTATATATGATAGAAAGATTTGTCTGTTTTGCTATTGCTGTATTCCCAGAGCATACAGATGAGTTAAATGAATGAATTATTTTACATTTCATTAACAAAAGGAGTATTTCAGCAATTGTATGTTAAAGGGACCTTGCTCTACTGGATCATATTGTTTTTGGTACTATTATATGGTTCAGGTATTAATTGTTTTCACCTTATTTGGTTTGCAACGTTCTCTTGGGCTCCTAAAACTATGAGCATTTTCCTTATGATGTATCTTCATTAATAGGCCATATGTATTCATCTGTGTAAGTTAGTTCAGGTAGATCCCAGAATTCGTTGGTTTTCACTTTATATCTGTTTTCCTGAAGCTTAGCATTGCTTAATTCTTTAGTCTTGATTTTAACTATCTGTAGGAATTGACATCACTTTTAGAGTTTCTACTACTTTCCCTCATTGTATTCTTTTGGTTGTTATGGCACTTTTTATGTTATATAAAATTATTTATTGAGGTACTATTTCTTCAGTGTTAACTTTGCTGTTACACTTTTTCTGTAGTTTCAAATAAGTTATTCTTAATTTTACACATTTTGGAAAAAACATTTTATAAGTTGAATTAAAGTTAATTGTTTCTGTTTGTATTATTTAAAAAAAATATGTATCTTACTGATTTTTTATGGAAGGAAGGGAGAGGGATAGAGAGCTAGAAACATCGACCAGCTGCCTCCTGCACACCCCCTACCGGGGATGTGCCCTTAACCAATGTACGTGCCCTTGTCCAGAATTGAACCTGGGACCCTTCAGTCCTCAGACCCATGCTCTATCCACTGAGCCAAACCAGTTTCGGCCTGTTTGTATTCTTTAGTACTTGCTATAGGGATTATAATATGTGTCCTCAATTTACCATAGTCCCCTTTGAATTACTATAAAACCACTTCACATAAAGTGTAAGAATTTATATGATGGTAATTATTATTGTCTTTTCCCCGTTTGTGATGGTATTGTAACCTGTTTTATGTCTAAATATGTTATAAATCTAATTATAACAGTTATTTTTATCTTTGCTTTAAACAGCCAATCATTTTTTAAAAGCAAAGGTAAACAGGTCCCTTTATGCCCTGCTGAGAGTCTAGGGATGCCTCTTTTGTGGTAATAGCACAGGCATGCAGGCTGCAACCCCATTCTTTCCCCGCTTTCCCCCCCCCCCCCCCCCCCAAATCTTGCCAGGATACATTAGTGGCCATTTTCCTTAGTTCTCTCAGAATACTAAAATTTGAGTAAAATAGCAATGTTGTTTCCAAATAATGTAATGAACAACCAACACTAATCCAAGCATATGAACATTTGTGTATCTGCCCCAGCCTTTCACACCTCAGCCAGAAATAACTACTTTATATTCTCTGTTTATGGTTTTACTTTAAAGAAAGAGAATGTTGTTTTCATTTATCAATAAGACTATGTAAAATAGAAAATTTAAACCATGAGTATAATAAACTGTAGAATCAAAGAATTAGGGTTTTTAAATTTCATTTTGTATCAATCTGTAAGATGAGGCACAATGTAATGTCAAAAAATGAAATTTTATGTTTTAATATTTTTATTTTAAAATAAAATTTAAATATGCATATTTTGATATATTGGAATAAGGTGACCATTTGTCATTAAGATGATGTTTTTTAACTTTTGGGTCTTAAAATTTCATTGTTTATTAAGTAATGAAGTGAATAATAATTTTTATGAAAGTAATTGATGATATGTATTGTAGAAAATAAAAAGTTGGTCATATTACATACTATATTAGTATAATAAGCAGTATTTAAGAAGTGTTGATAGTGTTAATTATAATTCATTTTGTAATCCATGCTTTTTGTCCTTATATTTTTGTATATTCCTACAGCTAAAGCAGTTAACAGGTCATGGCACGTTTAACAAAAAGACGACAGGCCGATACAAAAGCTATCCAGCATCTTTGGGCAGCCATTGAGATTATACGGAACCAGAAGCAAATTGCCAACATTGACCGTATTACAAAGTAAGTAAATTTAAACAAAAGTATCTCTGTAAAATTTCATATAAGACTTTGGGATAAAAAATCCAAAAATACTTGTTTATTATGATAACATAAATTACAAAGTACTAGTCACTTTTTGCCTTACAGGAGTATATAGTTGTTAGAAAAACAAATACAGAAACATACACAAGCAACTTGTGTTTAGAGGTTTTATAAATGTTATTATTCACTATTTGTAATATTACTTTAGTTATCAAAAATTTAACTCTTGAAACAAGTCTTTTTATGTTTTTTGTTAAAAGGGCTTTTAATAAATTACTTTTATTTAAACTAAAAACTGTTCATTATTGATTTTAATAAAGGATAAGCATGGTACCTATAGTAAATAACATCTTTTTAGTTTATAGCCCACTAACGAAGAATATTTAATATTTTAATTGAATGTCTAACAATATTATTCTATAGTTTAAAAATATAGTAAATAAATCTTAGTTATAAAAAGAAAGTTCTTTTCCTTCTAGTTTCCAATGCTATTATTTATTTTGATAGACCAACATTCAGTATAGAAAAAAATCAGACTGCTTTATGAATATTCAATTTTCATGTTAAGTATTAGTTATGAGTTTTCAAATAGAACTTGATTTTATTATATTTGTTTTCCTGGGTATTTTTAAAGGAACGAAGCTAAAAAAATTTTTTAAATGGAAACTAAATGCAAGTTACAGTGAAATAATATTGGTATAAAACATTTTTAAAAACATCTCAAAGAATAAAAGCTGAAAGTATTTTCCCATAATTGGGAATTTTATATTAAAAAAACACACATGTAGTTTATGTATATCAAGATTGCTTATAGAAGAAAGTAGAAATGAAATACTATTTTTTGGATTTAATTTTTAAAATTGAAGTCATTTAAGGCTGACTGAACTATTTTTTCAGGCTATTCTTTTTAAGCTATGCCATCTTTCTCTAAAAGCTTTAGAAGGACGGCCTCTAGGAATCTGTGGGAATCTCCCAGTGTGAGATGTACACAGTTTGGCCTTCAACATTGCTATTAGGCTATACTAGTGGTCGGCAAACTGTGGCCATGAGCCACATGCGGCTCTTTGGCCCCTTGAGTGTGGCTCTTCCACAAAATACCGCACGTACAGTGCAATTGAAATTTCATGGCCCATGCACAGAAGTCGGTTTTCGGCTCTCAAAATAAATTTCAGTTGTTGTACTGTTGATATTTGGCTCTGTTCACTAATGAGTTTGCCAACCACTGGGCTATACCAATCTCCTGATCTGGAAGTCAGAGAACTAATCCTACTGAAGTGGATGCAGGTGTCTTTGGATGATCATAAAATCTGTGTGTCTATACATATGTACACATGTTAAATTATAATAAAAAAGATACAGGGGTTGTTAACAGAATTGTACACCTCGTCTCATTTTGCATTATGAACTGTTGATAAACATTTTCTTTGCTCCTTTCTTCATCGGTACAGCATTAGGGATGAGAAGGCTTATTTTTCCTCATATCTTAAGGTCCATAGATCTTAAGATAAATACAAATAAACTAGAGGCCCGGTGCATGAAAATTCCCTAGCCCCCTCATCCCAGCCTGCCCCTCTCACAGTCCGGAAGCCCTCAGGGATGGGAGGTGACCCAGCAATTGGGAAGGCGATGCCCCCATCACACCTCTGCTGCTGCCACTGCCGGCAGCGCAAGCCTCGGCAGGCCCTGGTTTCCTGAGCCTTGGGCAACCCTGGGTGGCTGTGCAGCCGCCATCCGAGGCTTGCCTGTACCTCAGGCCGATCCTGGTAAGCTAGGGGGCTAAGGAGACTAGGGGATTCCGGAGAAGGTACGCAGAGTGGCTGGACCAGCCTGGGGGTGGACCTGGCCTTGCCACACGCCTGCCACTTGGGCGCTGTCATCTTGTGGCTGTGGGTGCTGCCATCTTTGAGGGTGTGGCAGTCAATTAGCATATTCCCTCCTTATTGGCTGTGGTGCCACATCTTTGTGAGAGCATGATGGTCAATTAGCATATTTCCTCTATTAGGTAGGGTTAATTTACCTACCATATAGTCATTGTTTTATTACACTTATCCAAAGGTGAAAAGTACTTAAATAAACAAGAGGGTAAGTGTTTAAGAGTGGTTCCCAGTGTTTTTCTGCTTCATTTCATTTGAGAGTATGCTGTTTTTCTTTTTATTAGGGGGGCATGCTTCATAGCATGCTGTACTTTTTTTTTTTTTTTTTTTTTTATAACAATCACTTGTGTAATTACCTCCCTGTTAGACCATCAGCCCAGGAAGGAACTATCTAGCTAACTGGCTAGCCCAGTGGTCAGCAAACTCATTAGTTAACAGAGCCAAATATCAACAGTACGACGATTGAAATTTCTTTTGAGAACCAAAAAGCAACTTCTGCGCATGGGCCACAAAGTTTCAATCGCACTATACTGCACACTCGTATTTTGTGGAAGAGAGACACTCAAGGGGCCAAAGAGCTACATGTGGCTTGTGAGTTTGCCTACCACTGGCCTAGCCTAATGCCTTTGCTTGCTCATTATTATTATACTTCCCAAGGTAAGTTAGGAAGAAACATTGGACCATGACAAGAAGTCAAGTCTTTTGATTTAAAGCCTAATATTCCTATTCTGTATGCTAAATTTAGGTACTTTTCCAACATTAGACTAATTTTAAATCCAGTTGCTCTGCTTTATAGCAAATTCTGAACACATAGGTATCTTAATCTTTACAAATAATCTTAAATTACTGAAGGCTATAGTAAAGTAATAGAATGCATATGTAGTTATTATGTTTCATTCTGTATTATGATTAGTGAGTGACTCCATTATAAAAATAAAAGCTGCATAACTTCAAAAGTTTTAGGCTCTGAGGTCATGGCTATTCATAATATATGGAAGCTTGGCATACCTGAAACACTGTAGTTTACATATATATAGTGTTCTATTTTATTTTTTTTATTTTTTTTTAGTTCTTGTTTAGGTTTCGTATGACTTTTAAGCCACTTTTAATCTATTGGTTTCTTGCTCATCTTTTTTGTTGTTGTTTTTCTTTGCAATTTATTTATTGAAGAAACTGATTCATTTGCTATTTGGTTTCCTATAGTCTGACTTGCTTATTGCATCTCTGGGGTGGATTTTAATCTTTTTCTCATTCCTCTGAATTACATGGAAATTGATATTTATCTAAAAAATTGGGGGAGGGAATTTTCTTTCCTCTCAAGAGGCCTTAATGCCTATTGTTTCTCATATGTGAAGTCAGTAGCTTTGATACAAAGAATTAAGGATTGAAAAATGATAGTAGTCTAATTTTATTCTTCCTATTTTTTTAAATGGAATACTTCTATTTAAGGACATAAGCGTCCCATTACTTACTTTTTGATTCATATTGTAAAAACTATCAGAATATACAATTACATATTATAATGGGCCGAAACCGGTTTGGCTCAGCGATAGAGCGTTGGTCTGTGGACTGAAGGGTCCCGGGTTCAGTTCCGGTCAAGGGCATGTACGTTGGTTGCGGGCACATCCCTGGTGGGGGGTGTGCAGGAGGCAGCTGGTCAATGTTTCTCTCTCATCAACGTTTTTAGCTCTCTATCTCTCTTCCTCTGTAAAAAATCAATAAAATTTATTTTTAAAAAATAGAATAATGGATTGTCTTCCTTTCTTTACCAGTTTTCAACATCGTATCCTCTAATGGTACCAATTAGTTTTTTTAAAGAGTTATTTGGAATTTATGCATTTGATATATTTCAGTCCATTTCTAATGTAATCTTTATTGCTGCTCAAAATTTTCCATCTTTGACCAGTTGGAGCTTATTTCAAGAGCACTTTCTGGCCCTCATTGTGCTCATTAATGCTAAGTCAGTCTCTTTAGGAATCTAATGGACAGAGTTTTGGAAATAAGTATAATTATAAAAGAAAAAACTATCTCATGAATTCATATTGTTATTTTCCACTTGATTTTATGTCTGTTGGGTTTTACTTAACTCTTTTAACTAAAATATTTATGTCCTTTCTTACACATTAAGAGTCATATTCTTAAGGACATGAATGATAACATTTTGAAATATCATGTAATAATCACTCACTTGTTTTATCCAACAGCTTTTGATTATAACAACACTATAACAAATAATAGTTTCATGGAAACCATATGAATTGCTTCTTAGAATCAGTTGTACTGATTCTAAACTATCAGAGAATATAGCAATTACATAATATACTTTCTTCCTAATAACCACCATTTAGTTTTCTATAAGTATCTATTTTATGCTTATCACTGGCCCTATGTTGATATTTAAAGTTCATTTTTCTAGTACATTCTTTTCCCCCAATTTCATTGAGATATAATCCACACTGTGTTAGTTTAAATTGTACAACATAATGATTTGTTATATGTTTATATTGCAAAATCATTACCTCAATAAGTTCAGTTATCATGCATCATTTCATATAGTTATATTTTTTCTTTGTTTTAACATTTAAGACTTGTTCTCATAGCAATTTTCAAAATATACAGTACAGTATTATTAAAATAACTAGAGGCCTCATGCACAGATCTGTACACTGGTGGGGCCCTTCAGCTGGCCTGTGAGGATAGGGCCAAAAGCAGCTCTCCAACATTTCTCGAGGGGTCCCAGATTGTGCGAGGGTGGTTCTCGGTTGATGCACCCTGGAATAAGGCTCCCCCCTCTCTGGTTCTGGAGAACTGCAGCTTCCAAATCACAGCAGCTTGGCGGCTCTTGTGTTGAGCATCTTCCCCCTGGTGGTTAGTGCATTTTATAGCTAATGGCCAGTTGGCTGGTCAGCCAGTCGCGTAGGCTTTTATAGATAGTTACTATGCTGCTTATTACTCCACAGAAATTATCTTATGCTAGAAGTTTGTGCCTTTTGTCCACCCCCAAACCCTGCCTCTGACAACCACTAATCTGTTTTCTATATATCTCTATTATGAGTTTGGTTTTTATAGATTCCACATATGAGGTTGCACAGTATTTATCTCTTC